ATATATATATATATATATAAGTTTTGCAGAAATGCTATCAGTCTAAGCTATTTGATCACTTCCTGATTGTCCCTAAATCCAAACCTTAGTAGCTTTGTAGTGAAATGCGCGCCGCCTGAACATTCCGTCCCCTATTTTTAATGCGGCTACTTTGTGGATCTAGTTGTGGGATGCTAGTCGTAGGTACCTGTCCTGTACTGTCCAGAATTCAGGCCACGACAGTGGGTTCCACACCCACGTAATAATTACGCATAGCCGTTCGTCAGCATAAGGACATACCGTTTTGCTCTGGGGGTGCAGTAATCCAATTAATAAACCAGTTTGGCAAGTGGCCAACCTAGCCCTCATTGATTTGTGGTTGGCGTCTGGCAAACTCATCACTCACCCGCCACACGTCCTGCCGACGTGTTATTTAGGTTATGTATAGTCATTCTACTTGGGATAATTAAGTACCGGCTACTGTTTGTATTTTACGGCTTGCTGATAGCAACTTGTTGGCATCGATGCGTGTCGATAATTTTGTAATCAGTATATCGTTCACGGGCGTTGACATATTTTACCCTTCATAAAACTAAACTGTTTACGATCTGTGCAGTGCCTTGAGGTTTACCGTACTGGGTTGTAGTGCCTTGACGTTAAAGTCTGACACTTCGGAAAGTAACATTGGGGATGCCGTTTTGCACCATTAAGAATTCTGCCGACAATAAGAACTGAAGAACGGTTACGAAGTATTGGGTTTCGGTAAGCTCTGGGGCATCCAGTTAACAGAAAGACGCGGTATCCGATATTGGTACGGAGGTTCAGGTAGCACTTTTCGGAGGTTTTCGTCCCAAGAGCAAGATATATGGCATATTTCGACTGCTAACCACGAAAACAGCCAAAATAGAAACGTTTGCCCGATCAATGACTATTCTGCATAAACCACTCAAAAGGGTTACTGTGCCTTTTTACGCACCTTCAGGTCATATTAAAACGATTGAATGAGAATAAATTCAACGAGGTAGAACACTGTATCACAAAAAAATCTATACAAATATGTAAAGCGGAACCGCCCGTTCACAAACTGTTGTTTTTCTCCTGCGGGATCCTACGCGTAAATTCAGACAATACCTTGTCCAGCCGTCCAAGGAATAGGTCGATTTCCTCTGGCGTTTGCCCAATAGCCGCCGCTGCATTTAGATAGGCCTCTGTTGATGCGGCACTATGAGAATTGAACCCGGGCAGACTAATTCCCCCGACGCAGGTTGGAGCACGCCCCTCTGCCGCCTCAATCTCGGCAGGTATTATCACACTGAAATAAAAACGGTCGACTAACTTCAAGTTAGTAATAGTAAACTGTTTAATATAAAGCAAAGACCTTGGAATGCTTACCGGACACCTGAACAGCCCTGGGTAAACAGACGTGCCCCCAGCTTCGTGAGGGCATCGGAGCGGCCATTCAAAGTCAAGCCCGCTAAGCTGACTGCCAGTGAAATCGGATTGTCTGGCGTGTGCATTAGGCGCAGGCCATGCTTACTAGCGACAGCACTGAGGCCATCAGCCAACTGCCGATAGCAGGCCTCACGTTTGTCCATCAAATCCTGCCAGCCGCGCCACCCCAGACAGAGGAGCGTTGCAAAAACGTCTACTGCCGGTGTGCCGGATGCTCGACCTAGTAGTGCAATGGGGTATGAGAAGCTGTGAGATCAGAGTAATCGAAAATTGTCAGCAAGCGAAAAAATTTCACGTTACGAGCAGGTCCCACTTTGGTTGGAGAGATGGTAATTCTAGATCTGTCATATAGTCGAATATGTTCAGGTTAAGTACAGGATAAAGGATATCGAATTTCGGCTGAAGGGGAGGGGGGGTACGAATGCAACGAATTACCGGTCACAAAACTTTAGGCCCAGAAAAGCCAAAAGCCAATTCCTCACTATAAAAAAGCTACAAATGGTTTCCACAAAAGCCAGCCTGTAATTAAAGTGTTGCCATGAACGGCACAATATAGTAATTAAAATGCTTTAAAAAGCAGGTATCAATATCAGTTTATTGAGGTAAAGATAGGCGAACGCCTTTGAACTCCCTGTTGGTAACAAGATGATAGGGAATAAATGGATACAAAGAAAAATTTAAAAATTACGTCAATTACATGCTCCGGGAAGACAGCGGAGTTGTAAGGTAACAAAATATGACTACTCGCAAATCACGAGTAGTATAATTTGATGCAGTGTATGTGATGTAGTAAATCTTATGCAGTATAATGTGATGCAATAGTTTCTTACATGGTTTGTATTTGTGCTTGATGCATGTCCAGTCTACTCTTAAATGAATTAACACAAGTGCTCAGGAAGGGCGCTCCACGCTGAAACTACTCTATTGCTAAAAAGAATTTTCGTCCGTCGATTCTTGCTTTGCCGGAGCGTAGTTTAAGGGGATGCTCGCGCAAAGTTAACGTGTTAGCCTGGGCAAAGAAATCATCGGGAACGAAACAACAATCCAGGTTATTCATAATGCGGAAGGTAAGTATGACGTCCCCTCGGGGTTGTCTGTAGGAAAGGGGAAATAGGTCGAGGGTTGACAGTCTGCTTTCATA